CAGATACCCTTTGGAAAAATATTGTAAAATAGCGTAATACCCTTAAGCTGCATTTTATCCGGCGACTCCTTCGTATAGTGGGGTTGGTTGCCTAATAAACTACCTTAGCGCTGCGTGTTTTCTGAAGGCAGGCGTTATCGTGGAAGTAGATAATATTAAAACTATTAATTTTTGGGTTCCCATTTTACATGGCCGTACCGAAAAATCAACACACAGTTGCTTTTTGCGTAGCTGGTACCTGCAGTTTAGGACTTGACAATATAGAGAAAGTATACAAGTTTGACAAATTTGGACCTTACCCTTTAAAATAACATGAATTTATACCGTGCATTAACGCAGTCTGTCAGGCAGTACAATGTACTCAAGTGCGTTCAGAGCTTTTTACTTGTGGTCTAGGATCTTTCGATGATCAGACTAGTGTTTACAGCTTTGAGGTGATTAGCCTCTAATTTGTAGCTACGCCCTATAATGCGTGTAGTTTTGCAGTTCTTCGTCGAAGATGTTGGAAAAAAAAGCGTCGTCCCAGCAACCGGTTCTCGCAACAATATTTATATACTTTGCATTTCTGTTGATTAAAAGAATTTCCAGGAGATTTTGGTGACTTACATTTTGGTGAACTATTACTTTGGTACCTTTATTCCGTTTATTGCACTCAGTTGCTGCGGAATTTTTAAACAGTAAGTATGAAACGCGGTCGGTTATTTTTGGTAAACCTATAAGGTCTAACATGTATTAACGTCAAAACGAAAAAAGTGAAGTCCATGCAAACTAAAAAGTCAATACGTAGTGGTTATGCGGTTCCATTAGGAGAAACATGCAAATCGGAATCTTTGAGGCTAACTTTGCTAGATGGATCTTAAAAACCTTTTTGGAACCTAGCAGGGGTTTAGTGATTTCTTCATTTACAGTTGGTTTTCTCGGAGTGCCTAAAGCGATTTTAGATTGACAACCGGGTGTCCGTATTGCCACACGCATACACATTTTGTGCTCCGGTTTAGTTTGCAGTGAACCTTGGTGATGTTTTATGGATGCGCCCTAGCAAAGTTGCATTTCACGAACTTACCTCATTTGTTTGCACTCAAGAAGCAGCTGTGTTCATAGCTTAAAGCATTTGGATAATGTTGCTTAAATTCTGACCAAGATATCGAACACTAGAGGTGCTTGGATTTTGCCAAATATTTATGAATAACGCATTTTCTAAATAGCACTTAAAAACACATTTTTGCTTTTTCTCGATTATTGCAAAGATGTAAAGTCCTCAGTGCAAAACAGTAGCGAAATTGAAACATAAACAAGGTGGTTCTCTTTGTTTAGTTACAACATCAGCTAAACGACGCTTAACCTGAGTGCAGTATCTCTGCGAAAAGTGGAAAATTCATGTTTTCCTTTATCGTCATACCTTTAAATTAAAGAATAACTAATCCGTTGAATGAAACGTTGAACTACCAAACATTAAAGCCAAGATAGGCTGGAGGATAAAATTGATGGTATTGTGAATGCGCTGCAGGCATGCAAAAATTCTCTCCTTTTATTTTAACGGCATACTAAAGCAATAAGTAAATTTGTTTATTTCTTGACTATGCTAGACACTGCCAGGTTTGTTGGTTTGATCACATTATACAAGGGTTTTCCAAATTTGATGATGTTTCAAAGAAATCAAAAATCTACGCGTGACAAAGTCCTCTTTTAACGTGGTCAGACAGACCATTAAGATGAACAGTGTCAATCACATGTTTGATTAGTATTGCGAATGAAATATTGCCAATGGAAGGGCTGCCGTAATTACCTGTTATGACAAATCTATAATATTGTGAGGAAAATATGACATAGATTGATAGTGTTGTGTTAATCAGCGTACAGTGTTTAAACATAGGTAAGCGAGGCATGCAGCTTAGTTAATTATGTCGTGTTCGAAACGATCATTCATTAGAAACAGTAATGCTTCTATTGCTATATATCGCCCGTAGTCCTGTCAATACTTCGGGATGTGTAGCTAATACGATATTCAAACACTGGTTTAATGAGGCGCAAAATTAATTACATAGTACAGCTAAGTTAGTGGTGTCTTGGTACGCTCATATATTTGACTGTGTCAGTTAGCAATAGTAGCTATCGCTATACGTAAAATAATTGGAAAGCAACATTTTAACTAATGTCAGGTAAAGGAGAATGTGTCTCGTAAAGAACTATGGATGATTTGAAAGTTCATATCTTGCTTGCCGACGTTATGTTTTCTTTAGAGGAAAATCGACTTTGACCATAGTAGTCCAAACTGTTGATGCTGTCTAGCCAAACCACACTGAGCAATTTGCTTTGCTTACCACTCATTGTACAAAACGCTATCAGTTTTCAGTCCAATGTTTAACATCAGTGCAGATGCCTTTTGGGAATAGGTCAGAGTAGGCACAAAAACAGATGATTGTTCGAGTGGATGGCAGATATACAGCAAAGATAGATTTGGTGAGATGCAATTTGAAGGAAGAATGGTGATAAACTGGAAAATTTCGTTCAGATCAAAAGTAAATGTAACTATTGATTCTTCAAAATTTTTTGCGGTATCTGTACAGAAGACGGTCTTTTTTAGTGGCCGATGCCGTTGACATCAGGTAAACATAACGTGAACCGCGGAAACGAAAGCAATTTGAGCGAACTCAAATCCTAATGTGAGTATAAGGAGATCGCGAACACCATCAATGAACAATGCTAAATTTCTCAAATCCAATAACTTACACAGGCACATCTTGCTTTCACGGATAACGATTGGCTGCGATGGAGACCTTCAACTCGATCGGTATATTTGACTCATACCTTATTTTCTTGGTTTAATGACCAGATTGCTTGGCATTATTCCTCTTCAGAAATATAGGTTCCTGAGAACAGCTGCCAAAGATATATATCTTCGTAGGCAGCTGACTGCTCAAACTTTAGTATTCAGAGTTTACCAAATAAAAGAGGACAGTAAGTCGCGCTGGGTGTCAAATCAAACGAATGATAACAGTTTAGCAAAAATTGTCACAAGTCTTAATGTTGACGCTTTGTTAGCATTATTAAAATATCTGCCCGTTGTTTCATGCAACCACAGGACTATTCCACATCTTAAAAGTAGCCTTTATGATTGTAGTCATAGCACATGGTAAAAGTTTCTGTTGTAGGTATATTCCTTAACCTATGTGTGTTCAATCAAATTTTGCAAGATTATGCATTGGTCTCAATCTCAGCTAGCTAACTTGTGCAACTAAAAATATAGAAGACAGATGGAAGCAAATGCTCTATTAATATCCGATGTCTGTAACTTACGTGTATATCCATTTTTTGACTAACGAAATACCGTTACATCCGGTTAATATGCATACATGATCAATATTGACGACGGAGTTTGTTGATGATAAGCATAGATCAGCAATAGCTTTTTGAGCGTCATACTCAACGAAACTAGATGAAAATGAGCGTCTTATTTTGCAAATATTTCTATGTGGTATATTACATATGATTAATACATTTATGTTTATACTTTTATCCTTTTCTTGCTTGTAATTATACTAACCGACTCTACACTACCTTTACCACAAGCATATGATGCTGTTACTACAAAGTGCATTAAGAAATAAGACCGTGACTGAAAATATTGCAAAAGCTTCCTCAAATCTCCTTCGCTTACTGGTTACTGAGCTATTTTGATAGAAGCATAAATGAGACTTGTTTTTTGAGGTGCGTCTATGACACTTCTTACCGGCGGTGAGAGCTTCAGCGCCCCCTACCTTATCGCCGACTGCGAGATGTGCTCACTATGACGCACCGCATATTAAATCTCGGTGAATACCCATTGGTTAGGCCGCTGCTGCATCTGTGTACATTGACCAGCACACGAAGAGATCGGTACAAGCTTTTAGTATCGGAATAGAAGTCGGTCAACCAATAACTCTGTTTCGAACGGAGAGCGGTGAATGTTTAGAACAACCTAGCGCAGCATGTAGTTAAGACAAAGTCGGTGTCGAAATTTAAGAAATTCCTGGACAAACACCCTCCCGACAAAAAGTTTATCGAACGCATTGCAACACAAACGTTCTTTTACCTGTGATATTAGATGTAGCTATACAAATATATCATGGCTTGCTGCTTCCAAACAGTCACCGGTAATCTGTGCAGGTAAACAATAGAGTTTACTCTGGCTTACATTATAAGCCAGTGCAAGTAAACTGCTCACCATTGAAATGTAATCCGGTGGTTGCACATTAACTTTTAAAAATCATAAATTTTACGGAGCAATAAATTTTATCTATGAATACTGTCTGTTGTAATATAATTGATCACCAAAAGTGTATAAAAATGCCTACAAACTCAGTAAGTCATTCATAACAATTAGGCATTTGTGCAACGATTTTATGTAAAATAGTATTTTATCAGCAATATTTATTAACAAAAACCTGATGCATGATGACGCTAAACGTGCTTCATGTTTTGCGTGTATAGTTGCTCCACGACTGAACACAAGTAAGTAATCGACGAAACTACGTATATTCCGAAATACTCCAAAAATAGCACGTATCATTCCAGTTCTTTCAATCTGTTGGGTTCATGCGGAATAGATAACTATTGTATGTTATGATGCTTAGCTTTTAGAAAAATTGCGCCGAACCAAAACGGCACATGGCAAGATAAGATTAGTAGGTAAAGTGCGTAACCAGATTTCCGGAAGACGGCTATATGAAGGGTCGTATTATTATTCTTAAACCGACAGCTATGTTTACTTTCATTCCTCACTCAAATTTTATAATTTTTATAATTTTAGTGGGTCAGCATATCAAACACTCTATTGAGAACACAACAGAGCATGAAAATCTCTGCACTATACGACCTACTTGCACCGATGAATAAGGCTCTTATTTTTCCTGTGTCCCAAATGTCTAAAAACTGCCGTTTACTTATTTAGTTCTTTGTTGCAGAGAAATGATATTCCTTTTTTCTCCTTTGTATTCTGCTAACTAGCAACCGGCATGAAATTAGTCCTTCCCCTCCTGAGTTGTAAACATTCTTCAACTGAACTAGCACCACGCATCTAAAATTACCATAATTTGTAACGTGACTACAAAATTTGACGATGAATTTTTTGTCTTTATTATCCAAAAATAATGCATAGTTTTCATGCAGCAGTGCTAAGCTTAGACTCTATCTGATTGTAGCATATCAGCAACCCATCTACAGTAAGCATTACGCTGATCACATTGCATTTGTATTGAAAATGAATTCCAGTGTTTAGTGCATTCCTCAAAGGAAACTAAGGAATTATTGTAAATGTTACAACTAGCTTTCCAAGGTATATAGGTACATTGCCTTTTAACTTGTTTATAATGGAAACTGAAACTAAAAAAGTAATTGGAAAGTTACCCTGCTTTCTTAACCTGCTTTTCGATCTAATATGACGCTTCTACATCGGAAGTGTATTTCCAGCCTTTTTTCGTCAAAGACCGCACTTTCACTACATTGACCTGATTGACGTCCATATCAATTTTCTACTATAATAAGTTTCCAGGTTGATGGATCTGGTTGTTGGCCTGTGATCTGCTCTCCAAATAACCGCGGCAGGAGCAAGGTTGCGTTAGGCAACGTATACATCCTTTACGACTGATTGAATCGCCCAGTTATCTGAAGTATCTGTAAAACTTAAACTGTTGGAAATTATTTTGACTGCTTTTGGTCAAGTAGTCTCTGACTTGCAGACATTATCAGTGAAATGTTTGACGTGCTACTGAACCACCGTAAAACAATGGATGATAGAGCCGAATTAATAGTTAGACTTCTTAAATAGGAAAATTATCGCAGTGTTGACTAAAGAAACATGGTTTATGAGAGTCTTCTATACAAGTTAATGCAAGATTTTTCGCAATTTAATTTATGGCAAGACAACATCAATCCATTCCCGGGTGATCCGAAATTTAGATCAGGCTGTCGGCGTTGTCCATGCTACTGTTAATATTAATAATATTTAACAAGTCAGTCAAAATTAAGATAACATAAGGAAATACACAGTATCCAGATTCCCGCATACACGCCAATATTCGAAAACCCAGCAAGAGTCAATTAATAGTTGAGTGAGTGACTTAGCCTGGAACAACAGCTCCATAGCTGCAACTGTTGCCAATAATTTCGCAAAGGTTTTTCATCTGGAGTCAACTTTACCTTTAAACCATCTAACTGCATAACAACGGCCGGGTGTCTAGGTGGCCTAATTCAGGAATTAGTTGCCTTAATCATGTATCGACTGATTTTGTTAGCAACACACGTCGAAGTACGCAGTTGAGATGCTTGCGCTATTTATGGATCTGTCAACATGGGCGGTTCAGTTAAAAATACATTCTAGCACTTAAGAAAAAGTAATATTACCTAATGTTGTCGAGCTCCAACAACTTAAACAAATCCTATGTGAATTAAGCCACAAGCACCAACAGTCAAAGACAAAATTACTCTCCAAATATTGAAAAACCTTGAATGTTATTTTAGCTGGTATTCTTAACCGAACGGCTGTAACATATTACACATAAAGTCTCCGTACGTACCTCAGATGACCGCAGCCGCCATAAAAAATTGTGGATTTGTAAGATAGGTAGGTATAGTAAGCTCTAATTTTTCCTAATAATCTGCCACTAAAGAAGTTGCGGACAATAGACACAGGATCAACATTTGTTGACCAGCCAATAAAGATATTACAGTCGACCCAAATTAACAGAGGTTGATATAACCTAAACTCCTACTGCGGTTCGTTAAGTTAAATGCCATCATTTGTGTAACGCATTAGAAATACATTAAATCCGATAAATAGAGAACTCAACACCACACAATCCACTTTCTAAGAATAAAAAGAACTAAAAAAATCAAATAAATCAAATAAAATAGCACTAGTTACTATATGAGTGGGTCAAATAAGAGAAAAGAAAAATGTGTGGATCAAAAGAGGCCATTGAGTAATAACGCCCAAAAGGATGAAGGGACCAAGTGTATTAATCAGTAACAAAAGTAAAACAATTTACATCTGATAAAATAAATAAAATGGCAAAAGTTAGTAAATGAAAAATAGGACCAATGTAACAAATTAGGCGCCAAAAAGCAAGGGATGCTTAGCTAGCCCATCTCTCCGCAGATAGCATGCGAGAAAGGAATAGTTATTGCCCTGAATTTAATTTAAATCAACGCGACCCGGTAAGTCAGATTTGTTCCAAGGTAATAATCTACGATCTCATTAAAAGAAGCTTCAATTTCATGGTTACCCAATTATTCAAATTAGTAATTAAACCTTGGACAATCTTCTCTTGTTAATATGAACTAGTGTTTTCACATGCCATCTCCTCCATTCAATTCCACATGTGTTAGCTAAATGCGTTTCCCAGTATTTCGGCTATTCCGCAACTATTTGCTCAACGAACCCACTCACAATACTTTAGCAATCAAAGCGAGAAGTCACACATCTGAACATTTATTCCATTCGCTAAAATGAGGCCAGCACGCAGTAGCAACACCTAGTTTATACTTCAAATATAGCAGATTAATTCGGCACGTTAATCAGTATGATAGCTCACAAGTAACCGTTGCGTTCCCCCTACGTCTGTATACTACTGCTTGGTAGTGCATACAAAGCACCATCAAACTCTAACCCCTCCGTATCATGTGAAAAAGTAACAGGTATAAATGCGACTTGCACATAGCCTCCATGCATTTATAATTGCATCAACAAGCGTTGCACAACCTCTCACTTAATTAATAACAGCTAAACCGCAGTAGTGATGAAATGGAATTCAGCATTATGCTACCCTGTACCGGGTAGAAAAGAACGGGAGGAAGCATGCCATTTCTTGACGCCCACAGGTACGCGCGATGCAAGACCAAAATTGTGTTATGCAGCTTGTGAATTGCTGGGACGAAAACAATAAAATTACAATAAAACTTGATTTGAGGTCGTATGTTAGTATAGTTGAGAGGAATAATCAACGTGCACTAAACATTTATCTCTGTTGTATCAGTGCACTTCAAGGAACAAATCTTTCGCAATGACGCGAAGGATTCGACGTTGAAATGGTCGTCGTACTTGTCTTTGTCGAAGAAAATTATCGGCGATTGTAAAGCAATAGTGTGAAGATTGCGAATCGCCACATCAAATGGTGTTAATATATTTGCATATTTTTTGTCCGTCGAATATATTACCACCAGAACAGCAACACAGATGAAGTAAAGTTGAGTACAATTCATATATTCGAAGATACATCGACAGGCGTGACTGCCATTACTGGACAGAAATACGTCTTCAAGTATGTTGTGTTTACAACCTTGCGTTTACGCTGCACTCCATTGTGCGATGCTTTGTCCAGTCTAGACTCATTCCGTCGCCGTTTCACATGGCGGCAACACTGCAAATCGCCTCCTTTTGGAGAGGATGATCAAAGCTGGATGGTTGGGCTTACATGCATGATTAGTTTTCATGTCGTGTAACAAAGCATTTTAGTATCAGAGCAAATCCACTGTCAATGATTGTTAAGGTTTCAAGAGCGATGTAGTTTCCGGGTTACCTAGTGACCGTGCAATACTTTACTTTGACCAGCAACCTTGTTTCCCTATACCTTACTCAAAAGCTTGGTTTAAGCGTCGATCGGATGTCACCTTTGCAATCAAAAATAGGATGAGGTTTAACAAAGTCACATATTTTCTGTCAGTTTTTAAGCCAGGAAATCGTATTTGCCGCAATCGTGCAAGGCTGACCTATATTCTTTACGGCGGTTCTACCTTTCTCGAATGTATATTAAAAACGGGTTTCAAGCAGTTAGGCAATCACCCAACATATTTGAAACTTAGCCTTATTTCTAGTCTCGTGTAAGCCGTGTTCATGCATAGAGGCGTCAGGATGGTTCACACCAATATTTGGAGGCCCTATCAGACATGGCTTATTCAAGCAGGCAGCGGTGTTCCTGGATTTGTTTTCGCGCATCGCGTTATTAATTTGCTTTTGTCAGTCTAGCAAAACTCCGTCTTGCTCGCAAATTGTTATGCTTCCATTTCCTATCAACCCCATTAGCGAACTGTTGTGATGTATTGTTGTACGTGCGATGTAATTTGCGGCAACTGCACCCACCGCATTTTGTTGCTGGGATCATAGTTGTTCAACTAATCTGTATCCATTGGTTTTAAGACTGTTTATAACTCAAAAAGAAGGCTTGTAGTTCCATTTAAAGTCCATTGCAAAATAACCTTACGGTTTTCTAGTGCCATACGATTTTCCATCAAATTAAGTACTCGACAAACGTGCATTGTTCCAACATAAGCAGGTTGTGCGTGAGGTTGGTGGAATCAAGCGTATTCACAATGCTAATCCAAGTGAAGCATTTGCATCATAATTGTGGGTAACTTTATCTACAGTCCTGAGATCCCTGAATAGTCCAAGTGAATTTAGCACCTGTTCCTTTTTGGCCTCGTCAAACGATACTCATCACGTCCTAACCGGAATCAGGTAGCGTGTTTACCATGTAAACTATTACGAAATGATGTACGTATGTGAAGTGAATATGCTGAAAGCTTCAAAGCCAATTCAGACGCAAGGGCAGTAATTTATGCTCCAATTTGTTGCGCAGCTTATCAGGATATACAGAATGTTAGACGTAGGATCAGACATTCCTTGCTAGTTGCAGTGACGTTATTAAAGGGTGCAGGTTTACTTTTTCTGATCCTGGTGCCACAACCTGTAACACTGCGTGGTAGAAAATTATATAGGCAAAGTCTAGTATGTCCCTGATATGGTATTTAGTTATAATGAATACTAAGTATTGAAAATATAGAGCGGAATTTATAAATCTGTGTTGCTCCATGGTAGTTGGAGCAGACGCAGACTGGGAATCACTTCGTTGTTTCCTGCGCGTTGGCCGCATATTGCACCTGCGCTACGTTTCATCCGGGTGTAATACCGTCCATATACCTGTACTTCGTAAAGTCGGCGTCAAGAAATCTCTTTAATTTTGACAGCAATTTCGCTTGGACTAGCGTCTCCAGCAATTTATCCCAATATTGCACCATTCGACGCCCGAAACCTAGAAGGTGAGCGATGTGTTTGAAATCCGGTACCAATGGTTTGTGCCTGCGTCCACGTGCGATGCTTGGTGCGCAAACTTTCAGCAGCGGCCCAAGATGCATTATCCGGTTGGTTATAAAGAGATCAACTTGAAGCCGTCGATATGAAACGGTGTGAAGCCCTAGTTTCCTACATCCGCCCTCGTACTGTATACCTCACCAAGTAAGGATGAGCTGGGTGGCTACATGTTGGACACCATCCAGTCACTGCACATCACATATTGGAATCGGGTAATAGGCGTCATAAGTCTACTACCACAATTAACACACAATCATATTTTTGGTTTTTCTTTGACCAAATTTAATGGGGAGTCACTATTTCGCGGTGCAATTCAGAAACTGCAATTCAGAAACTGCTCGAGGCTTCTGGAATTGATATATTACTAACCACACACGCTTTTGCTGCAAACCCTTTCGAAGGATTGGAAATCAACATAATATGGCTTAGACACAGTATGGCTTAGACATTCCTCAGTTCTCTTCTACTAATGTCGGAAGTCTCAAAAGCTTGCTGATAATATTCCCACTGCTTCGCAATTATGAAACCAAATGTTCTTTCTGTAGACATCTAAAAGTGGCAAGCATAAACTGCGCTCAAATGACAAATCAGACTGATGGCATCTCCGATTAAGTAAACATATTCTCACCTATTTCACAGTTGCGATGGATGCCTCAGTAGATGAAATTCTATCAATATTCCTATGATTACTGATACTACGAATGCGCACATTATGCACTCGTCAACAGTTTCGAAGTAAAACCAATTCATATGTTTTACTGTTTGCTCATGCCTGCTAACTAATTACTCGATCAGAATTCATGTGTAAATGTCCCACTATTGCCTAGGCTACAGATCTGTGAAAAGCCTCAACCTGAACATTTTAACATCTGTGATATTTAAGAATTACTTCCAGCTATTCCTTCGTGTTTTACTAATTAGGTGTGCAACAAGTATGTTCATGTCATCACTATTGTCTGGTTAGCGCTTAAAGTACTTCTACTTTGGATTCTATAATGGTTACCTATATTCTTATAAGGTACAACGTTACAATACCGCATATGCTACTTTTCCCTTGTAACCCAATATATTTGTATATAAACGATTAGGTCGTATTTGCACGTTATAACCCCACAAATCGCAGCTGCATTGTAATTTCTTTCCGATTATTTAACCGACTTTTGAAGCCAACCTAACATTTGAAGGCTTCCGTCTGTACCTGCTTGTGACTGCGTGGTCAGCACGTTTTGACGCCAAGTGGCACTCCTTCAGTTCGAAACAATGTGTCAAAACGTGCCTTGTTCTCTGTTTGAGAACAGTGTTCTAAAACACATTCCTAATATTTCAGCAAGGCAATGAATCCTCCATCGAATGGTTGAGATTCAACAGTAAGTTGAAATGCATTAATCATATGGCCGCAATATCAGCTCATTATTTCTGAGTTGTTAAAACTGAAGTATTCATAAATATTGCACGTCTTAAATACCTCAACGCTTCGAGTTCCGACAAGAAAAGCATTTCAAACTCTAACAGCATTATTTATAGTGCTGCTGCTATAGTGCTACACTGTTGTAGAAAAACAATCATAACTCATCCTTGTTTGTGAGAGTTAGGAGCCATTAAGTTAATCGGTCGGACATGATCCTTTTAAAATACCCGCCGTCACATCAGGTGAAACATCAACCTATAAACAGAAATTTGTTGTGCATGTCAAATGTCCCCCATCGCAAATATAGATGTATACCCAGGAAATTCTAAACCAACATATTCCATTGGTAATATTTGTGGTTTTAGGTGTATAAATCTAGGAACCTATATACTCAGGTATTCCAATGATTCCGGATGTTAGATGCCTCATCAAACATCTTGAGTCATTAGCGATTCTTTTCCTTAGACCTCAATCAAGAATACATTTAGGGCCAAAGCTGACTAAGTGTCACACTGGAGGTTTTCTTTCTAGTAGACAAGTGGATGACCATACTTCACATGGTCTTCTCAGCTCCAGTGCTGCTCGAGTGAGAAAGTCGCGGTGATGTGGGCGCTCTAGTGACCTACGTAGAAAGCTACGGAGACAACCTATTTGGCGTAACAAAATCGCTTTTTGAACGGGTTAGTCGCATTCCACAAGAACGTAGCATAACTTCTACACTGTAGAATCGGTATTGTAACTGCACACTAGAACTCTTCTTAAAATGATTCATTTTAGAAACCCGCGCTACTCCCTATTCTACACATGCGGAGTGACCGGAACACACGCTAAACAAATAGCACCGGTTGAAGTAAGGTGCAGTAAAGCCGATCCTTTACAGTAACTATGTCAGGACGATGTTTCAAATGGCTTAGTTTGGTTTGCGCTTAGTGTGCTTTGACTACGCAAGCAAATATTTCTTAGCAAATAGTGCTCCAAATGCTGACAAAACTATCTATATGCCCAAACTATCAGTTTCAAGGAGAAAATAGTGAAACGGGAAGGGATTCATTATGAAGCAGAACTAAGGTATTTAACTAGGAGATATAATATCATAGCGTTTAAACCGCCGAACAATTCAAGGTTAGTCACGTGCTCCGCGGGTCCTCCTTAGTTACTGCGACAACATTAATATAAGAGTGCACCTATCAGTAAATCTGTATTCTCCTGTGACGAACAAAGTAGTCATCACCGAGTTAACTCAAGTAGATAATCCAGATAACGAAGCTCTTTGGTCACATATTCTCTCAAAGTTTATGCGAAGCGCAACGATGCACACATCGGTCAGTTGCATTACAATCCTAAATGTATCACAATGCGTGTATTAAAATGGATTAAATACATATTTTAACAGAAACTGGAAATACTTTATCTGTGTGCTAGGCTTTCTGATAACACGACAATGGCCTCATTAAGAGTGTTCGCACAACCACACGTATATATTATAAGCAATTTAGCGACGGATTGCAGAAATTAAAAGTTGCAGTTTTCGGTTGTGCTAATTCAACGGCATACAATGCTAAACAAGCGTGGTCTACGTGGTAGCCATTTTTAAGTTCTATTGATGGGATAAGAATTGAATTTATTGGTCCTACTATTAAAAGTCAGTAGCCAGTTTCAGACAGAAACATTCCGCGAAGTTGAAAACGATCTGCAGGCCAAAGCTAAATTCTCCGTTGTCGTCAGGTGCATTCACAGCTCACAAAACTTCCCGTGGTCAGAATTAGTGATTGCCAAAGTAGTTTTACAACTAGGTTAGATAATGTGAAGAAGTAAACCGAAGCAATAATATGCGGTAAACGATGAGCAAGCTTACTAATTTTAATAACAATTTAAGGTTTCCCAATGAATGTACAAAAAATGAAAATTGGATAGCCAACTCAATGAAATTGTCATGCACAATAATTATGAACCTACGTATAAGCAAGTCATTTTTTGATGCGGAGCCCGCTTAGACCCTTAACAATACAACACAAATGATAATAGCTTAATATCTGTAATTGCTTATATATCTTGCCATTCAGCCTATTCTGTGAAAATGTACCAACTAAATACTGTAGCTCAATGCGGTTGGGATGAGTTAATTATTACTGAGCTAGCTGAAGAGTTGGGAGCGAATCTCTGCGGCAGTTTAGAGCACATAAAATTATGCAAACCATAGGTAAAATACACCCGCGCCTACAAACGTACGGTCCAAATTGTGCACCTCCGTATTTTGAGAATTTCTTGCAGATAGACCGACGAAAGGTTGCCCAAGCGGACGTCGAAGGAATGCTACTTTATTATATTATTTAGTGAGCTTCGGCATACTGGTTTCCGATGTGCCCACTATAATCAGCTCCCCTGCAGAATGCATAGAACCGCATGTGTGCACTCATAGTGTGCCTCTCCGATACAGCTGTTATCTATGGGAATCAAGGTTATGACCAATGAACAATGAATTTATAAGGGTTAAGAAGCGTTGCTTTACAAGTCCCGTTGGATAGTTGGTGGGGATATCAACATAATAATTATGATGAAAAGGATAGTAAAATAGTTAACACTTTAAATACGAAAATAAGGACTTATCGTTTGCTTCGCTGCAGTCCTGCGATCCACTTAGATTCACAACACTCACAGTTAACAACAAATAATTCCAGGTGTTGGATGGAGACATAGTGTTAAGTAAGAAAGTGTAAGTGGATGAGTGCATCGTCCAACCAACTTTTAAATATTGTTAGTGTCGGTGCAGAGACGACCGATTCTGGGAGAGCATTCCACGGGTGACAGACACGGATGGAAAAAAAATTTATGCGGCACTCCAGACGACTGTATTGTTCTACGAGTTTTAATGATTGACCCCTCAGAATTGTATTGCTACTGAGTTGCAGTAAAGGGCGGCACACATGATGTGGGTTTCGCAGAATCAAGTATGTCATAATCAGGTCGCCTCGTAGCCTGCGATAGCTTCCACTGAACAATCCTAGCCGTCGCAGCCTCTCCTGGTAGGACCGATTGCGCATTCCAATTACGTTCTTAGATGCCCGGCGTTGGGGCTGCTCCAGTGCATTAAGGTCGCGTTTCAGCCATGGATGCCAGGCTTGAATTGCGTATTCGACATGAGGAGCGAACATACGCACTGAGCATTTGTCGAAATATGGAACTGTTTATTTGTCTAAACGCCCGCCTCAACAGCCCAACGTGTTGGTTCCCGGTCTTCGAGGCCTTTTCGGATTGCCTGGAGCAACCCAAGTCATCTTGAACCAGGACACCCAAGTCACGTTCGAGAATTGATTTTTGCAGTACATCCGTTCCGAGTCGGTGTGAGTAGCTGCCGTGATGTCGGATGGAAAGCACCTTGCATTTACTGACGTTGAAATGCAATAAGTTTTGGATCGACCATTGATACACTGTATCTAAATCACTCTGAAGCACATGTTGGTCGGCGTTCGCCTGGATCCTGCGCCAGATCTTGATATCGTCGGCAAACATTAGGAAGTTTGAAGCGATTCCCTGTGCAAGGTCATTAATAAACACCAGAAACAAACGTGGAACTAGAACCGAGCCTTGCGGCACACCACAATCCACTTGTATGGGGTCCGATAAAGAGCTCCGAACTCTGACCACTAATTGCCTTTGAAATAGAAAGTTGGCGATACAGCTTAGAAGAGAGTCTCCGAGCCCGTAATGCTGCAGCTTGGATAGTAGTATACCATGGTCTAGACGATAGAAAGCCTTGGAAAAATCTAGGTAGATCACAGCAACACTTTCTCCAGCGTCGGCTGCCTCGGTCCAACTACTGCGTGCAATTAGTAAGTTAGTTGTACATGACCGCTGTCGACGGAAACCGTGCTGTTCAGGAGTGACGAGGTTGCAGTTTTCCAGATAGCACACCAGTGCATCGGCAACTATGGATTCCATGACCTTGGAGAGTATAGAAAGAAGGGTTACTGGGCGGTAGTTGGAGGGATCAGTTCTGCTTCCACCTTTGTGAATCGGGGTTATTATTCCAAGCTTCCACATGGCGGGAACTTGGTTCTGGTCTAAGCAGTGTTGAAAAAACTGAGCTAAAGATCCTGCCAGTTGGTTTGCTGCTACTCCCAATGCCTCTGGACGAATGGCGTCGACACCCGGCGAGCTGTGTTTGCGTAGAGAAGTCAGCTTTTGCAATACAGCCTCTGCGGTAAAATTGATGTGGGTTAGTCTTGGTGAGCAGAAGACAAAGCTTGGTAGATCGCTTGGTGGCAAGATTCCTTGAAAAGGGGGGGCGTATTGCTTCTGCAGCTCGTTTGCAGCTTCCATAGACGTTCTCGTTGGGCCATCAGCCGGCTTGAGTGGAGGAAATCCTTGCCTCACCTTTCGTAGGCTATTAACGTGCTTCTACAGCAGTTTATGGTTAGCACTGAAGCTTTTTGCGGTGTTCTGCTGATAGGCGGCTTTGTCTTCTCTTAACAGTTGAGTGCAGTGGTTACGTTGGGATAAGTAGTTATCCCACATTTCTGGTGCTGGAGCTTCTCTGTACACTCGCCATGCTGCGTTGCGTACTGTCATCCATTTTCGGGTTCTGCTCCTAACGAAAGAAACGGATTTGCACTTATTGCAAGCTTTTATATCTGAAGCCTGTGCAATCAGCTGACTGAATGTGTTGACGATCTCGAGCCAGGCGACTTCCGGGGGTTCTTCTTCGAGGAAAGACCATGTTGTGGCGCTGACTAGCTGCGCGAGTCGGTCGTACCTTGTGATGGTTCGCACAGTATCATGGTTATCATTCAGATATTCTGCATAGCAGACGAAACTGAAACTGATGACTGCGTGATCACTGCGACCCAACGGGCAGTCTAAAACCAACGCATCAATCATATGCTCCTCGTTGGTAAGCAAAAGATCCAACACAGATGGCCTGTTACCAGTTCTGAACCGAGAGGGCAAAGTGATGTGGTTGTAAAGAGGAACAGTAGTTACTAGATCTTGTAAATCGGTGTTGAATTGTTCGCCGGTTGTGGCAGGGGCTTCTAAACATTGTACGTTGAAATCACCCATGATAAGAATGTGAGTGTACTTTGGTTGTTAACTGCACCTTAAAGCAGCCATTAGGTGGTAGTCGGTTTCGGATGTTGAGTTGGGGGCGCGGTACACCAGGATAATAAGGCAAGCGTCCCTGCCTTATAACTGCAAGCGGCACCAAAGAGAGTCGGGAAACTGCGAATCTGAATCCTCCACGGCTTCGCACTGTAAGTCGTTTCGGTAATACAGGAATACCCCTCCTCCTTTTGTGAGCCTATCGTTCCGGATCAGCGACATGCCGCGTAGCGACACTTCAGCGTCCGTCATTCCCGTGTGCAACCATTTCTCGGTGATACCAGTGACATCATACGAGCCGGAAGCTTGGCGATTTTCAGTTCAGCCAGTTTGTTAGAAAGTCCCTGAGCATTTGTATACAAGCAGGCCAGTTTCTCGGTCTCTAGGAGCCAGCAGAGAGGTGAAGCTCTCAAGTGTGGCAGAATGCCGACCGATGGGATGTCGGCAGTTATTCGTTTTTTTGATGGGTCAATGATACCTCGTTTGCAACTTGATTCGGCCAAGGTGCGTCCCAGCCTTCGTTTAGACCTACGTCAGAGTCAATTAAAGCAGCAGTCAAGTTACACTTCTGTACATTCGTCAGGATGATTGCTGCTTCAGTTGCTTTAATACTTGAGCTGTGCGAATTGTTTGCGACCTTTAACCGAATTTCGGAAGGAAGATGTTTCCGATTTCTTCGCCATCGATCCAAAACATCCTTTGCTTGTTGCTCTGACTGAACCACAGGTTTTAGGATTCTAGGGCCGCATCCTCTGTAATTCGATGAGAGAGGTATCCTGGTGAGCGATAGTGCCACAACATCACCCAAAGAAAGTGTTTCACGAATGAACTGCCACTGTTCTAAATCGTGCTTTCCGGTATCTTGAACATGGTTAGAAGGATTTTCTGGCACGCCATGTATGAAGACTGTGTTTAGGCAGTCTTGCTTGCTGTGCCCCACTTCGGTATTTCGTTTTGTTTGTCGCGCGCTCCAAGGGACATCAGGATAGATACGTATCGCACAGGATTCGTGTTTTAGCGCGGTTGCGGAGAGTAAAAAATTTTCCACGTCGGTGGAGGATTCTGGAGTCACTCGAATAAGTCTGGGTTCACCATAGTGTGGCGAGTTCGGATGACGAGTAATTCGTAACAAGTTTGTGGGCTTGGCTTTGATACTCATCTGCATACACAATGAATTCCATGGGTCTTGGTCGTCTGATAACTTATCCCGCAATGTGATGGCGGTAGATTCAGGGACATTTGAGCATACAACAGTCCGGGAACTGTTGTTGGATCCCTTTTTCATCGATCTACAAGGCATGGTACTCATTTGTCCTGAGTTGTTGACAAGTGATTGTTTGCTGTTTTTCTCTCCATTTGCGTTAACGATGTTTACAATGGAAGAGAACGCAACGTCGGCCTCTCGGTGGACTCTTGCAGCAATCTCTGTATATGTAACCGATGTTCTGGGAGGCTTGGCCTCGACAAGAGATATTTGAGCTACAGGTACCAAGGGTTGGTGTTTGGCTGCTCCATCCTTGTTAATACTAAATGTCAAGTCTAGTGGAATTTGCTTAAGCAGACGTTTTGAATGGTGTCTGATTTTGGTTGCTGTGAGTACTGCTTGATTCACGTAGGTACAGTTTGTTTTCGCCCGGCGTTCTACCAAAGTTGGAGAAGACAACGGAGATGGAGACATGGCTGATTGCGGTGCAGGCGAAGCGATTTGTTCAGCATTCCGTTGCTCAGCAGCCGCTACGCTTCTGTGGTCCACACTCGCTCCCATTGAATTGATCTCATTGTTTATCCTCTGCTCTGCTTCTGCGATTAACCGGTCGCATTTCTCAGCTAGGATAAGCAAGCACTTAACCAGGGGGATGGTGGAACATGCAGTACAGAACCAAAATGCATCTTTGGAACTATTTCGCTCCCGTAACTGTTGTTGAGACACATTTGCACATTTCGTATGATACCATTCCGAACAGTGCGAACAGGCCAGACTGATTTTTACTACCCGATGACATTCTCCTAACCAGCAAATGCCTTTCTCTTGGAGTCTTCGGTTTCGCCTTTCTGCCGTTCAATTTGGTGTCGTTACCTGACCCAGTGGGTTGGTTAGCGTTCTGTACTTTTACAGCTTTTAGAGCGGCGCACATCGGTCAGGCGAGCGTGGTGGTTGCAAGGTCAAATGAGCGGTCGGCGTGGTCGAGCGGTCCGTGTGATGGGTAATGCCGCCGCACTGGCTGACAAGGTCACAAGGAATGGCGAGTGACTGCAACCTGAACAGAGCGCCGAACACAGCTTCTTTCACAGCTGTGTTGAGAAACACTGGATCGGAGTAAGCTTAGGCTTTTCGGCCTGCCTCGAGAATTCTGTATCGAATGGTGTCACACAGAATGGCAATCGGCTCAATACGATTGAATTAAACGCTTGCGCTTAATCACAGATGCCAGTGAAAACGGTTAGTGATGTCACAGCCTCTAATCGTAGAAGATATTTCCACGTATGATGGATCACTGTGTAGAGCTGGTAAATCCGGTTCGAATGAGCGTACAGTGACAACGCTGCGAGAAGATGGAGAGAGGATAGAGGGAAATAATCCAAATGAACCAGTAGCACGCACGTCACGCGTGTGTGAGGTGCCGCCACCGCCGTCAAATAATTCTATGTGTTTAACCCAACCTGTTGATAGAGGTATAACGTTACATAGTAGCAAGTGAGTAAAATTCAGTTTGTGTCCACAGATGTACGAAATCGTAGTGCGCAAAACACAAAGTGGTTGTTTGCTCAACAAGAGCTTTACTTCTACATCGTGATTAATATCAATAATTGTGTAGAGTCTTTGGAACTCACAGGATAGAAAAATTTTCCTTAAAGATCAGTTGATGGCGTCAAATATGTTGAACATGTTCGGCGCTATTATTTTTGCTGTTTAGAAACCCAAATTTAAAGTATTGATTTAAAATGGAAAAATATGGCCTCTACGCTAGCATTGCTAGAATTAGACAAGGTTATTTGTATATGTATATGTATAAATATATATATATACATATATATATATCGGTTCTAAATCAGAAGCAGAACATTAAATACAGCAATGATTATGTTTTTTGAGTGATTACAGAGGAAAATTCTTAGGTATTTGCGTAACCTCAGGTGTGTCCTGGAATATTTCATCTGGCGATTCATCGGATGTGAACATAGATAATGCCTCTTCCAGGACAAAGAAACTAACGAAGTTATTGCGAAATGTTGTAAGCTTTTCACACGTCCTGATTGTGATTGACAAGCTGTTCGACAAAACAGCCTATCTATTGAGGAAATCGTTAAATTGCTTTGTCGTTGTAACCCTAGATACAAGTAGCAACTGTTTTTATTAAGGGATCTTTAATGAGTGTCTTGTCTTATTTCTAAATGGGACAGGTAGGAATACGTTGCTTGCTACAATTAATTGTGGATTTGCATCTTTTATTGCTTCAGACTTAATATCCAAATTGCACCGTGTGAAGCTGCTTCTAAGCTTTAAGGTACTCATGTGTAAAAGAGCTATTAAACAAATGTTAGGTCAATGCTCCCTAAGAGTGTACCTAATTTTCCTGTCCATCTGCATACTTCCAAAGATGAAGTCGCAATTTTTAAGGACTAGACGATTATGTGTTCCAAATAACTGGAGTTTGGCAGGAGCCATATGCACTCGTGACATGGTAGCAACGGATTGTCTGGCTAGGTATGTTTGGTGTTTGACTTGTTCAGAAAAGCAAACATAAACAAAGATTGCAATTGTTACAGTAGCTGGCAATATATATAATATCGAGTAGAACTGATAAGCAGCCAATTATAGTTCCCGGGTGACACCGCTAATTTTATTGACTTGGCAAAATGTATTGGGTTCCCAAAGGGACATATTTGTTAATGACTGGAGCATTATTGGGAATGCCCCGTATAGTTATTCCTTAGCTACAATATGTAGGTTCCTAACAGCAATTCGGCAACAAAAAGTTAATTGCTCCTCTGTGTACAAAAGTAAACTTACGATGCAAAACCGAATTCAAAATATTTCAAAGTCGAATAAATTCCTTTTGGCTGGCAGGTAATGTACGGACGACTATCAAAAAAACATATTGAGATGCTGTATGTATCGTTGTTAAAAGACTTCTCAGGGTATCCAGTATAAAGAATGCAAACAAAAATCAAATTTACATCGAATATAAGCAGATCAAATTTACACTGTGTACTTAGAACAGCTTAAGAATAAGTTTACTTTTGAATGGGTTACATATTTCTACCTAGGCTTGCTCATCTATTCTTCCCCACACTGATCAGTATTCATGTAAAAAGCTTATAGTTTACTCTAGATATTCAACCTGTGATAGAAACTATCATTATCGTAGTGCAAGCTGTGACCTCTTAGTGTAAATTTTGTTTGACGCATCGTAATGTTAATCCTGTTAGGCGTGCAACAAGTAAGTTTATTTGAAGTTAACTTTTCTTGGTATGAATATTCTGTATGTGGTATACCGATGACCTCCCACTGTGGGCTCTGATCTGGGTTCTAATCATTCTGTAAACTGCAACCCTGTGATATATGCTATTCCATTATGGCCTACTTTTTATAACACTTGGTACTTGTTGTGCTTTTTCACAAGTATTGTAAATATAATAGTTCTGCTTGGCAGAGCTTACTAATTCGGAGGTTTATCTTTTTGCCCATACATTCAATAATTCCAATGTCATCCCAATTTTGATTTACTTTGTTTAAGTTACGAAAGGCATCATGTGAAAATATTTAGATATATGGAGATTACCGTCTCATTTTTATAAGCTGTATATTAGGTTAAATTGCATCAAAAATTGTTTGCCCTCCAATCATTTGCTTAATGTTGTACCCGAGTCACTTCAATACGAAGCATCTCTATTAACCAGAAAGTCGAAGAAGCTATTAGACAGTTGGAGAGTTACAGAGGTAAGTGTCATAACGCCTACAAGTTTGAGTAGTCCTTTATCAACTAGAAAAATCACTTTTCTATTTAAAAAAGGTAGGCATTTTCAACAACGCATTTATACAATTGCTAAACATTGACGTGAGTACGGCAACCTGCCCTCTGTTAGTGCCTCAAATCGTGCAGCTCAAGTATATTGGGAAGTAGCAATCGTCTCCGTCAGTCGAATTTTCACACACCGCGTTGATTTATTAATACAGAAGAGTAGTAGGGGGAATTGAATGGTATAGGTAAAATTTCGTCACATCTAGGCTCACTCAGACCGCCGCCACAAGCCCGGCAAAGCACTGTACGCGCGTTTCATCCTTTCGGGAATCATCAGCAGTGCGCATTCCATCGGACCCTTGGTAGGGCTCGAAACCGCAACTCGACTGTTGCCAGTCCGTGGTTGAGACCACTGAGCTACGGGGGACAGCAACGACCATCGTGAATAAGTTACTAGATGTGATATAGCGCCGCTCACTATCCACTGACTTACACGTTACTGCCGTGCAGAGGACAGGGTAGCCCCCTCAACAAGCGACGAGCTTAACAAACTTAAGCCGCCAATTATCTTATGGCATTATAAGCAGTTTGTTCTGTGTACTGATTACAGAAGAGTAGTAGGGGGAATTGAATGGTATAGGTAGAATTTCGTCACATCTAGGCTCACTCAGACAGCCGCCACAAGCCCGGAAAAGCACTGTACGCGCGTTTCATCCTTTCGGGAATCATCAGCAGTACGCATTCCATCGGACCCTTGGTAGGGCTGGTGTAGTACCATATATTTATAACCCACTCACAAGTAAGTTGATCACATCAATTGTAACTATGCGCTGTACATGGTGCGTGTCACAAAGGGCAGTGCGTGCTACCAACACAAAGGGTTTCCTTATCCGAGCGTGATTTCGTCTACAAGCCGCTACTGCCTTCCCAGGTTTCAGTTAGTACAGCGCGAAAAATATTATCATGTTCCTAATCGTTGTAAGCTTGATGTTTACGCTGTCTGCAAGGATTTTAGCTCTAGCGTTCATTGTCAGTGGGGTATCGCGGTTGCATTTCATCCACATGAATCGGCCAGTTCGCAGTGTCACACAGCAACACCGACCAAACCTGGGTCCTCAAAAGGACAGAAAGTACCTCGACAACCTCACTGGTGTGTGCAATCTGATAGCGCCTACCTAGTTTTGGAGAAAGATTGAAAAATGTTTGCGATAACCCTTAAGGCAGAAGCAAATCTCTAAAGATAGAAGATATTATCGATCACTTCAAAGCGTGCGCTTTCAAACTTGAGCACTGGAACGGAGATGGGCCAACGCTGGAGTAACCGTTTTCACTTCTTACATGTGAAGCGCACGAAAGTCTATCGAGGGAAATACCTTATGTTGTATCTACGGTTAAGGAAACATTTCTCAGCGTTTCTTGTAACAAAGATGCAGAGGGGTATTGGTTTCTTCTACTTTTCCAATATTGGTGGGTTAGGCGCCCGCTATCCACCTCAGGAGATCAAAGTAGATCGTAACGATTTTAGGTTGTGCAGCGTATTCTCACTTGACAGGCACAGAGATGACCACTATTGCAGGGCACGCGGTCGTGGTAGTGTTGACTACGTGAATTATGCGTGTTAATTTGGTTCTCTTCGGCAGATCAATCTACCGCTTTCCTTGTTGGCTCAATGACATTTTTGAAGATGGAATATGCGCGGGATTTTCTTATTGTTTCGACCGCACATGAACATGAATTGCATCGAAGATACACAGATGGATTTTACCTTGAGATATTAGAACTGCTTGGATAACTGAGAATACAATTACTCCTGAACGGGCTACATGTTTCTATCGTGGCTTGCTCATCTATTCTTCCCATACTGATTTGTATTCATGTATAAACTTTATAGTTTACTCTAAACATTGAACTTGTGATAAAAACTATTATTATCGTAGTGCAAGCTGTGATATCTTGTCCTAATTTTGTTTTACGCGTCCTAATGTTAATCATGTTAGGCTTGCAACAAGTACGTTTGTTTGAAGTTATCTTTTCTTGGTTTGAATATTCTGTATGTGGTTTACCGATGATCTCCCAATGTGGGTACTGATCTGGGTATTTAATCATGCTGTAAACTGCGACTCTTTGATACCTTTCATTTTCTGTTATTTTATCTTTTTCTTGCTAAACCCAGAATTCATATAAAAATTTTCTGTATGGTTGGCAGTGCACGCCAATTCTCATATTTACCATTTTTATATCCTGCTTATGTAAGTTGCTTAAAACTCACCCAAGCTAATGGGTTGCTTTTTCTAAGTAGCATAATGCTCATCGTATGAAGATTAACATGTTTGACGGCAGTTGCTTCATTATCTTATGAGCATTGTCAATTTGCGTCATAACTTTTATCGACGGTCTTGCAAAGCAATTAATTTTTTTAACTATGCAGAAACCTACTATGAAAGAAAAAATTCAAAAAGTGGATGAGGAGTTGAAGAAATACCGTAAGTTAAAATGCATCGAGTGACTTTAAGATATACACATGTGCTAACTACATCGAAACCGCCGTTCCCACGATACGCAATCATTTTTGCTCTAGCTTTCTGTGTCATGGGATTATCGCGGCTACATTACATTTAGGCTATCCGGCCAGTATGATCTGTCATGCAACAACACCGACCAAACGGAGGTGATGCAAACCTGGCTCTTTAAAATGAAAGTAAAACTTTGACTACTCCACTGGTGTATCAGATTTAACAGCGACTGTCGAATTTTGGAGAACCATTGAAAAACGTTTGCCATCATGCTACTATCAGTAACACAGCTCTAAAGATTGGCGAATTTATCAGCAGTTCAAGACACGCTTGCAGCCAAAGCAACGGAATTGGTATTAGCCAATCCTGAAGCAAAAGTTTATACTTCAAATATTCGAAGCGCATAAGATATTTGCGTGCGTAGATCGTCAAAAGACTGAGAACACTCTACAGACTCCCAAGCCATCGCTGACTGTGGTGGTTTTGACAGCTAAAACTGTATCCGCTGCGCGCTCACATGAAATGGTGTCTGGCCTAGTGCTTTATAAAGCAGGCGTCTGCCCAGTACTTGATCCAGTCAATATATCAACCAACTGATACTGTCAAGGCATTTTCACATGCAAATGTACGTTTTTATACGTATAGCTCAAGATATCTCACGTCAGCTTTGTTCTTAATGAGCGTGCAAATCTTACGAGTTACTTCACCATGATTAAGATTTTTATCACAATCTAAAGAAAACCTAAAGAAAAATCTTAGGTGACCCGAATCTACGTGCGAATGGCGTGGACATGACATCCCAAATGCACCTCCTGAACTTGGGCTTTGGGACTGAGTTTTCGACGAACCAGTTTCAGGTCACTTACAACTGCCCGAAAACATTCTGATATTACTAATGAATTACTGAAGTAAATAAGCTAACGATGGATTATTCTTCAACATCAAGTGTGCTTTCATCAGTAGGCTTAGTCATTCCGCCTTTGCTTAATTAAAACCCATGAACATCAGATAGTTTTCCTTACCGCATGAAGATTTTACAACCCTTAAAATCCTCTTGGTCACAACTTGTGATTGTGTGAAACGCCGGCGAGACTACAGACTGGCTGTGTTGTTAAACTGTCTCATCACAACAAAATGCGTCAATTAAAAAGAAAATCATGCATTTTTCACATATTTTCCATTTTATTGGTCACATATTAAGCAAACGTAGTACCATAACAACGTACTTCTGTGCGTAATTTTGGCTAGCTAATATGGACGCCACTGTATACATTTGTTTTTCGGTGATGTTTTTGGAACAGTAGCCGTGCAACGGAAACCGCCATACACTTGTCTAAATGCCCCATTAGTAAGGCAATACAACAAATATTTCTTGAAACAGTTGACTGTCCGGTTGTCAAAAGAAGCTTTTGGTGAACTACTGAAACAGTTGCTATGGCCAACCTACATTTAGCTATCATGTAGTTTACATAAACACAAAGGTATAGCATATAAACCATCATAACTTCATTTTAGAACTGTTGTTGAGCATACTAGCATATAAACTCATTACGACGTTAATGTGCATATTTTCCGCACAAATTCTACATCTGAATTACTGATGATGCATTAGCGAATTGCAGTATATATCTCGTAGCATTGTCGGTATGGCTTATTGTTCACTGCAAATATGTGTACGCACTTGAAGTTAGGGCATGATTTTTGGCAAACCACCAGATGTGTACGACTCATACTTGCGCGTTGGGTTGCTTTCGTATATTAGGATACAATCATAGATATAGCTAAGGCCATTTCATGATTTTGTGCAAGTCTATTTAGACGGACGCGTATCTTAATCTGTCTCATATAACTTCAATTGCTGAGTTATAACGAAGGTTTGCGTACAAGTTGTTTACGAACCCTACGTGAGAGCAGCCATAGTGATAATTTGTCGAAAGTCTTAAGATGATAACTCAAAGAAAGTTAGGCCTCAATGTAACTTAGTTAAGCAAGTAAAAATAGCTCAACCGTAACTAAATTCACTACAGTAGTCGTAAATGGTAAAACAGTACCCCATTGTTGCAGTGTTGTTTTGCAAGAACCTGTAGGTTTTGGACGCTTATTCAAAAGGTGGGCAGATACAAGCTGGCTCACCGCAACGTACCATTATATTGTCTTCACTATATATCACAAATCTTACTTTTAATTTTATACCCAGAACTTACTCCGCGGGAAACGAAAGTTAAATTCTTGTAACGGACGTATTTAAATCAGTGAATTTTTGGAGCATTAACTTGATTCTTTCTTTTTCCTTTTTGAAATGAAGTTTGGCGATATTCAGTTATTAGAAAAATATGGTATATCTTCGCGAAATTCACTGACTCCTTAATACTGTCTTAAATTTATTCGTCAGTTTACGGGTAAGGAATAATGATCGATACCGTTAAGGAAATTTGGAGCCAACTACCTACGTAACTTTTCATTTGAAAAAATGGTGAAATAAGGAATGACCTTCTTGGTCTTAATTTTGAAAGCGGTTAGCTGAGATTCATGGGGTGAGGTTCAGCGGTTTTGTATATACAAGGTCAGTTGTTTGGTTTCTCAGCTCCAGAGATTACGGTGAATAAATTATTATCACAAGACAGCTAGAGGTGATTTATACCAAGTTGGTTTTACCAATTTCGTCTCTTGAGTAGCCCGCCACAGTTCGAGTGGAACAGTTCAGTGATGTCCTGACGAGCGACGGATGAGCACCAGTTTCCAATTTACCTGAGCCACATATTTACTCTTTCTAGGACGTTAAACAAGCAGGAGAGGTGATTGCAAATTTGTTGTAGTCATGATGCTTACTTGTAGTTAGAGGCTTGATAGAGTTGAAAAAATGTCTAAACAGATTTGTTGTAGGCTGAGCCTAGATTGTGAGCTTTGGCCTCTTTTCTTGTAACCTACCTTCAGCTACGAGTTCTTAATCGGATCGGAGGGTATGGTTTTTGAGGACTGTAGTTATGCATTCCGCTTTAGAGTTGGACGCACAAAGTGGGTAGGCTGTACTGTTAGATGGTAACCATAATGGTAACCCTAGTGAGATAACTTGCGTATACGTCAGTTTAGTTAGTTTCATGACGAAATAAATACACACGGTTAGTTAAGGAAGCGTATTTAAGTCGTCATCTACTTCGGCATAGGTAAATGCAATTCAAAGTCTAGAAGCCGAAAATGTGTGTTAAGTTACTACAACAACTGCATTAAAGCGGAACACAGACAAGAAACTTCGATGCAATTGCTACACGAGAAAAGCAAAACACAGTTGGATGAATTACAAATTCCTACTTACAACAAACAAGTAATTAGTCGGGAGAATGAAAATCTGTTTTCTACACCGAAGGGTACCTGATTGATTTCCAATTCACATGCGCTATGAAAGTTAGCCGCCGTTCTGTTTCTACCCCATTGTGGCAAGCAAAACAGAGATCCGTCTTGGTTACACGCAACACCAAAACAGAGAGACAGTGACTTTCAGCGAAGGGATTTATACCGCTAGGCCAAAAGCGATACACCACGGCCTATGTGCCATAAGCATTCAGAGCGCGGTTGGCCATATAACGGATGGATCGGATAACTATCACTTAATAATGGTAAGTGACGGACATTTTCGTGGTGACTAAAATCCGCCAAAATTGTACTACCACTGTGGTGGTTGGAGATACTTAGCGTCTTTTAATTTTGCCATGAACAACGTGTTACTCAAAGGTTACTAATGACTCTATGGCACATTTGGATATTGAAATAAGAAAATTTGTGCGTCATGATGTGCGTTCAACATCTACAAGACGCTATGTAAACAATGATGTTTGCTTCTTAGTTGACAATTTGCATATTTTAATTATTTCCCCAATAAAATGTAAAGCATAGCAACATGAATTACGTTAGCAGGTTTCGGTTCAATTTGGATCAATACGGTGACAGAATTTGTGAAGTTTGCTTTTCCAGCGTATAGCTGAACCGGGAGTCAGACTGGAAATTCAAGTACGTTGATGAATCTACAAAAAATTGTCATCACAAGCAAGCTAAGCAATTATTGCAAACATATCCTGCAACATTAGCATTGCTAGAACGGTAAAGTGAAACATGGCAGAAGGAATTTTAAACTCAGAAAATGTGAAGAAATACGTAGCCACACGATCTCAATCTCTTGATAACTAAAGAATAGCAACAGAAATTGAAAGCTGATTATACGACTCGGTTTAAAGAAGGCGAACTTTGGTATTGCTAGATGCGAGTGTTTAGCTGATGCTCGAAACACTCAATCGCTGGAACTGAGCACTAGTGAAGGAAATCTTGAGCCAACAAACTTGTTTTAACCTGGGCAAATCGCTGTTTGTGCAGCTTCAACAGGTTAAAACAAAGAGTGCGCGACTTATCAACTGTGCTTGAAGATCAAATCCACTCAGATTCCCCGGTAATTCATTTAATAAATTTCCGAAAATAAATTATCGTTCGGGAAGCGTCTGTCTACCTAAAATCTGCATTGACCAAGTACCCAAATTCCGAAAGTGTCTTGTTCCGTTTTGCTCCTTAAAACGATTAGTGTGCAAACCTAGACAGGATATTCCAAATAAATCTTCTTGGTAGCAGAGTTTAACCACACAAACGTAACATGCATTTACAGTTCGAAAGAGCAGCAAAGAAAGCAACTCATCCGGAAACCTGTGCAAACAACCTCCTTCCACTTATCCCTAAAGTGAAGAGCCGAGTAGCGGATGATACCTGAAGCAACCTGATTTATGACAGCAAGGACTACACCGCCACTAATCACATATTTCATGGAAACATTATGTTCTCCGGTGTACGGAATCAAATAATTTGCCTAGCTTGCGAACTTTACGAATAAGAAAGACCGTTACCGGAGCCTATATAACGCACACTGGATTGCCGTAAAAACCAAGAGTGTCTGTAATATTCCAGAGCGTAAGGTTATTCTCGAAATGCTGCGACGGTATCTCAAGCTCCACAGGTGTCGCAAATATATTAAGACGAATGTTCGTCCAAACAGTTAGCTTGTGTAAGTGAATGGCGATGTTCAACACCTACACTTCATTACTTTCTCTCGAAAAGTGTAGCCATACAGTCATGGGCAAGCGCATATTTCCCACCAGACCTCCACATTAATACCACTTAAAAAGGACATGGTCTAAAGCTTTCAAAAGACGACGAATGGCACGTTTATAGCACAGCCGCCTACAGCCGCAGCAACCCAAATTTTAGGAATTACTAGTAAAAATCAAAAAAGAAGTCTACTGCGAAATCCGTGTTGTGCTTCACTGTGCGAGCAAATTTATTCAGTTGGTTCTTCCAGAAACCTCGCACTACTTTGCAAATAAATCTACTACCATGCATATCGAACTGGCAGGTTTCTTGTGGTTAGCGGATTCTCGTCACCACTACTAGAATACAAAAGAGACGAGAAGCTTAAGCGATAAAAGCGAACATTTACCAAATAAATAACGCAAATGTTGGTTTGTAACTTTTCTGTAATCAGACGAGGATTTCTTTTCATTCCAAAGCTAGGATGTAGGGGTCAAGCTAGTTTGAAAATATGCATGTTAGTTGATCAGTTAGTTTGGCTGCTAATTTATGCAAAGGCTCGGATAAGTTGAGATTCCGTCACAGAGTTTGAAAGCCTCCAGTACTCCCTATTGGCCGAGAGCTTGCTTTCCGCTATATTGTTCATAGCAAACCAGAATGTCTCGGTACATCTGGATCCGAGTTTAACTATTGGTAAATCAGCAATGAGCAAAAGCACTATTGTGCTCTTAGTTAAGTATTCAAACAACGGTAAACGGTACGGATACCTTCAGCTCGCATTCTAGCCATTGGCTGTTTTCGCAACACTACACTTCCTAACGTAAACAAAGAACGTTCTGCAGTAAGTTTACGTTTAGTCATCCAAACCCATACTACTCTTCAAATATGATATAACTTGTTTTCTAACAATTCGGTGGCCGTCGCTGATTCTAGATTATCAGCAGGGTTGGGGAATTATAATCATCTAGGCTGCTTCTTGAATGAGCATTTGTTGATAGAATATGTGTATGGAAGCTGGACTTGTGCTTCTATACTACAAATATGTAGTACGTATGGAACAGAATATAGGTGCTGCATATCCTAAAGTTCCAAAGATGCTACATTGTAACTGGACCATCAATTTCTCATAGTTCAACAGTAAATCTTTAATCTGTGTTTCTCTATAGGTCACCATCCAAATAACTGAACGTAACCCTTCGGCAGCTTGTTAGTGTCAATAAAGAGCACAGTGAAAGCAATGGCCCAAATGACCCCTGTTAGCCACCGGTAAACCGCATGTACAATATAAAAGAAGTACAGTACGGGTAAAAAGCGCCAATGCTTGGCACTTTTCGTATGAGGGTATGTGTGCAATATATGTTTAGAATGATTTAACAGTAAGCTAACCCTTGCATCCGCGGTCATCATTTTATCCAATTTAACTACTTTGTACATCTGCGTACCTCGATTTAATGCGGACTGATGAGCATAATGTGGGTTTGCAACTTGTTTTTATCTCAATGGATGGCAAACTGCGTAAGACGCTTACGAGTTGTTTTTTTAGATGCATAATGGATGCAGAAATGCCAGAAGTCGGCTGACAAATTCTGTAGAAAATGTCCCGGTGACTTTCCAGTCTGTTTTATTAGGTGGTCATTTCCAGCCGTTGATCTCGCAGTTCAGCTCTGTGGAAAAGTTTCAGGTAGTGACATCGAATGTGATCAGGATTTCTGTAATCGGATATGTCAGCATGAGTTCAATCCTTAGTCGGTTTTAAATTCTGCCGCACAATGCTTGAGCTTCGAGACGATCTCAGCATAACAGATGGAAGAACTTCTTAACAATTTGAGATTCCTTTGCTCTATGATCACCAGTGCAATCAGATCACATTTTAACCAATTTTGCCCCGCGCCAACCGCGTACTACACACAGGGACCCATGTGGGCTTTGAGCGTTTTCAAGAAAATGGAAGAGTCGCAACGACCGAACTTTATCTGTAAAAGACTAATATGTTAGTTTCCGGTTTTAGACACATACAAGGATTGCTCTGTTCAGCCGTCAACACACATCACCAATACAAGTTCGCGCATTGGGTGATACAATTCAAATATTGGTCTCCAAGCCTAAAATTGTTATTGGGCTTGCGGCGTAATTGTACTCTAATGCACATCTCTAAGATGAATGGAAGTAAG